CCCCAAAACCCCAAAACCCCAAAACCCCAAAACCCCAAAACCCCAAAACCCCAAAACCCCAACTATTCAATTTTGTTGAAAGATCGCAAGAAATTATAAATATGGCTAATAACTTTTTCAGCTGCCTCTTATCATCTAGATTAGTCTTAACCCAGATTGGCCATATCCACCCCTACAACAGCATTTCCACCGATTGCCAAACGTGCTTTATTGTAGTTTTTTTTGTACACCTGATATTCCAGTTTTGTCAGCCACAAGGCCACAAGAAGTAGGACTACAAACAAAATAACGATGAGTTCCAAAGCAGCAGTTTTGTTCGAAATCGCATCGTAATGGTCACTGTCCAGCTCTATAGCTTGTCTGATGTACTTCTCGTACTGGTCTCACTCAACTAGGATCGGCCTCTGGTAGTTCGGTAAGAGGTAAGAGCTAATCAATTTGCGAATGCAGACTCTGGAGTTGTTAAATTCAGAAAAGCTAGTATGGTTTATAATGTAGTTTTCTACTTCAAAAGCCTTTTTAAGATAAAAAGACTCTACGTCCATCAGACCGACTTCAATCTCTTCCATGACTGTCTTGCACCAGGATCTAATTCTGAGTGAAATGTAGACAGCTGCATCTATGAAGCCATTTTTCTGTTCTCAATCAGGATCTGAGTCATTCCAACAAACGATGCAGCTTAACTGAGGGCAATCAGTGTAGAGTTTCCAAAGGATATAGCTCATTTCGATGTACTTTTTCTCCTCATCTTCAATAAACAAGATATTGATTACATTCTTGTATTCATCAAGCTTCTCTGCTGCCCATTCCATATCCTCAGCAATTTCTTGCAAGTGCTTTGGGATCTCAGGGACTTTGTAATTAAAGTCTGGCTGATAAGCTCACTTGGCTATAGCCAGAAGGCATCATAAGAAGAAGAGTCCTTTCAGAGCTTGAAATTCTGTCATTATAGCAGGTAATTTTCAAATAAATTTTATAAATGCTTCAATGGTCGCTGAAGTAAATGGGGTTTTGGGGTTTTGGGGTTTTGGGGTTTTGGGG